CACCAGTCTCCTGGGCTCTGCTACGTTGTAGTCCCCAAATAACACACAAGACACTATTAATTAGTGTAGACTCTTTCTATTTACAGTAACAGGAAACCACAGCAGACACTCTGCTCCAAATGGATCACTTAGGAAAAGGTTGTAAATTAGATGGCATGGGATGCAAAGGAACTTTGGTAGCTTATTAGCAAAAGGTCCATGGGAATTTTTCCCATCACAAGAAGAGTAATATCTCATTGGTAAGATCTCTTATACACATCTGACACACATCTATTTAAAATTTATTTTTAGGTCACTTCCTTTTTAGTTACTACTTAAAGTTATATTTACTTTTAGGCAAAATACAAATGAGAAATGAAATACAATTTTTATCAGTACAAAATCTGATAATCATCCATGTGGGTCATTTAAGCACAATGAAAAAACACTAACCTAACTGGGTGTGGGAGAGAATGCCATTAGCCTCAGCATTTGGAAGGCAGAGACAGAGTTCCTGGACAACCAGAGCTGCACAAACACACAGAGAGGCATGATGGAGAATGGCCATAAGCCCAGCATTTTAGAGATGAAGGTAGGAAGACCAGTGCCATCCTCATCTACATAAAAAGTTCAAGGCCAACCTGGACTATATGAGATCCTGTCTCATAAACCAAAAAACAAACAAGCCAGAAGGTTCCCGTCAGTATTTTATGAACTCTGTGGTTATACATTTACAACTTCCAGAGTAATATTGCCAGCAATTCTCTTTATAACATACATCACAGAAGTAATCATGTAATCAAAGGAAAGTGTGAGGTCCCATCAAACCCCACTCTTCTAGAGATGTTTTAGCTTCATGAAATTTGAGAATTCATATATTAAACTTACCTTTACAGAGATTCTAATGTCATAGTTGTATCAGAATTTCAATGAAATATTTTTAAATATCCATGTGCAGGCCTTATTTGATTTGGTGAATCAAATTATGTATATGCAAATAAGTCTTGGTAAAGAAACCTAGTCCAAATAGTTTGGAAATTAAAGCTGTGTGGTCTCTACCATGTAATTTATGCTGGTATTCCAGCAGTTTTGATACCATTGAGATGTTCTCTATATAATAAACAGCATAGTGCAGAGCTGTGCTCCCACTGTTGTCAATTGCATTTGCATTGGCACCATGTGCTAATAAAATTGTCAGACATTCTTCATAGCCATACTGTGAAGCCTGTGAGTATTACATCAAGTAATACATTGGAAAGATAAGAAACTCAAGATGAGAACTCCATGGATTTCACTAATTATTTGCATTTAGTTGAGAAAAATCATGTTTATTCTCAGCATTTACAGCAAATCCATGTCATACTGAAACTGTTGGCTACTATTTACCTTAATTAGTGCTGTGCTTTTGTAACTGTCACGGAGCTCAATGTTGCAATTCCAGCGTAGTAGGATGGTCACTATATCAGGATGGCCATATGCACAAGCATAATGCATAGGTGATCTGTAGAAATGAGGATTTTTAAGAATTTATATAAGACTAAGTCAAAGACACAATTATTCATGTAACTGTAAACATTATTACATCAGTAAACAATTTTCTTCTGACATATGGACAATATTTATCAGCTACCCATTATTTCATCTCCACACCTAAATCCCTCAATCATTATTTGGTGATCAAAATATACTCATCTCACAGGACATACTGGGACTATTCAACAAGAACACTCAGAACATTTAGCTGGGTTTCCACCACAAAATTGCTCAGTGTTAAGATGTTTTGTTATTGTTTTCATTTTGGGACATGGTCTTGCTACAGAGCTCAGGCTGGTCATGAATTCACCATGTGTCTCAAAAGCTTTAAACATGCAATTCTCCCACTTTAGGCAACTGGTACCTGGGACTGAAGGTGATCACGCTGTGCCTGGCTTGTGATCCTCTTCATACACTCTGACCACTCTGCATTAGAATGCTACTTCTAGCTCATGACATATAAAGCTTTGACAGAAGTTTTTAGATTTTACACAGCAGATGGGCATGACAACCCATGTTCCCATGTTATATCACACATGTATATTCTAAATGATTTTGGGAATTCTAGTCATAATATTTAAATAAATTTAAGATCTGAAAAGTTGGGTAGGTAAAGGGAGTGTGATAAAACTATATACAAAATATGACTCTTGATTTATATAATCTTCAGCAAAAGAAAAATCAGGGCTCAGATGATAAAATATGGATCATTTTATTCAATATTGAGATTTACACAATGTGCAGAAATAGTATGTTTCAATGGGTAATTAATATGAGTATCTGATACTACTATAACTTTTCAAGATGGCTGCTCTTTACAATTTCCTAACTCGTGAAATATTGTTATTTGAAATAAAAGAGGCAATAGTTCAACTGACATTGAGCCCAACTTTAGAATTTCTACACAGGGCAGGAAAACATGGACATCTTAAGGATGAGTGGCATTTATAGGCAGTAAAAGAAGTGTGTTATGTAAATAGAGCCAATGTGTGTTTGGTGAATGAGTGGGTAAAGATAATAAAGTTGAGGAGTTCAACTTTACTTATATTTAATAATTGTGATAATTTAAATAAGTTTAATTAAAAATGCTATTAATTCGCTTACAAATTATAAATCACAGAATGAATGAGATTGCAATTATAATTTTAATTAGCAGGCTGTATTAGTTAAAGTTACATATGGTCTGTGATCATTCTCTTCCCTTAAGACAAGAAAATGACATCAACAAAGGAGTCCAGAAATTTAACTGCATAACCTCTGCATTAGCATTTGTTTTTACTCCAATGTGATTCTCTGGTCTTAAGTCAGTTTCATATGTGTGTGTGTGTGTGTGTGTGTGTGTGTGTGTGTGTGTGTGTGCACTTACAAGTACCTTTGTGTGTTCTGGATGAGTGATGCTAGCTAATCTTCACAATGTTTCTGTTTTATTATTGGCATATCAAGACCCACAGTTGTGAGAGGTTTGTCTTTTAAAGAGTTACAAAATAGATCAACTGTGATTTGTTTATTAAAATAAACATGTATTTCAACACTCAGGAAGCTATGTTGATTTGTTTTAAGTGTCTGTTTGTCACAACATAGAATCACCTGTGACCAGAAACTCAACATGAGGAATTACATAAGTCAGGTCTGCCTGTGGGAATGTCTGTGGGGTATAACCTTGTTAACTGATATAGAAAGACACGTTATGGGTGGCACTATTCCCTAGGCTGGGACTTGAGTTATGTGAGATCAATGAAAGCTAGCAGTGAACGAACAGGTTGCAATTGTTTCACTCTGTTCTTGACTTGAGGATATGGTGTGACCAGATCCTGCTCCTGACTTCTCTGCTATGAACTATAACCTAGAATTGCCAGCCAAATAAACACTTTGCTCACCCTGACAAAAGAAATGAAACTATGGGCTCCGCCCCTCCGCGCCTCGCGGGCCGCACAGAGGCAGAGCTGCATGGCAAGGAGGGCCGAGGTGCGCGCCGGCTGCAGGCGCTTGGGACGCTGCCTTAGGCCGCACACGTGCAGTCTCCGCCGCGCGCGAGCTCGCGGAGCTCCTGATCCACAAGCTCTGTGGCCTGCAAGGCCTTCTGGCACCATGCACTCGCCGGTTCCTCCGGCCCGGGCGATGCGCGCGCGGTTGACAACATGGACATCTGCGTGTCAATCCTGGAGAGGAAACGGCATGACAGCGAGAGGTCCACGTGTAGCATCCTGGAGCAGACAGACATAGAAGCTGTGGAAGCTCTCGTTTGCATGAGTTCTTGGGGTCAGAGATCCCAGATGAGACCCCTCTGGTGACATCACAAACACTGTGCTTATGGACACAGCCGCACCTGACCTACCAAAGGACTTCCATTCTTTTTCAACTCTGTGTATAACTCCTCCTCAGAGCCCAGAGCTCATGGTACCATCGACAGGGACTCCTGTTCCTTCCCAAGTAACTAATTCCAAAGAATGCATGGTCACCGCCATCCCCCCGTCCCCCACTGTGTCTCCCAGAACGCTGAGCAGGAGGGAGCCTCTGGAGCCAGCCTCAGGGTCCTCCTGCAGGGCTGTGATGACCAGTGTGATCCGTCACACTGGGGAGGGTCCTGCTCCTGCGTGCTTTCCAACTGCCCCGGCTCAAGAGCAACAACCGCCTAGCAGCAGAGAAGGACAAGTAGAGATGTTGGGCCAGTGTGAAGCTTTGCAAGACACTCGCTTGGCAGATGGTTTGCTTGTTTCTAACTTGGTTTCCTGTCAGCCTTGCTTGCACAAGTCCGGTGTCCCGTTCCCCACATACCAAGGCCAGCAGACAGGATGGCCCGCCGCCATTCAGACCTGCTCACCAAAGAATTCTGAAAATGACTCGTCGAGGAAAACCACCCCTCTAATTTCTGTCCCTGTCTCCACTCCCCCAGTCCTTTGCCAAATGATCCCCGTGGCTGCACAAAGCAGCCTGTTCTCAGCCTTTTTAAAGACTCCTCCTCAGTTGTCTGCGGGGACTGTCAAGCCGATCCTATCCCAAGCTGCTGCGGTGCCCCAGCCCGTGTTCATGGGCCCATCCATGCCTCAGGGAGCTGTGATGCTGGTCTTGCCACAGAGCACCTTGCTCCAGCCTGCCACCTGCCTGTCCGGTGTCATGGCCATCGGAATACCAAGCTGTTGCCCCTTGCTCCTGCGCCAATGTTCATCACCTCCAGCCAGAACTGTACCCCTCAGGTAGACTTTTCCCGAAGGAGGAACTATGTTTGCAATTTCCCAGGCTGCCGGAAGACGTACTTCAAAAGCTCCCACCTTAAGGCCCATCTGCGCACCCACACAGGGGAGAAGCCCTTTACCTGCAGCTGGGATGGCTGTGAGAAGAAGTTCGCAAGGTCAGATGAACTGTCTCGCCACCGCAGAACTCACACTGGGGAGAAGAAGTTTGTGTGTCCTGTGTGTGACCGACGCTTCATGCGGAGCGACCACCTGACAAAGCATGCCCGGCGCCACATGACCACCAAGAAGATCCCGGGCTGGCAGGCAGAGGTGGGCAAACTGAATAGAATCACCCTAGCAGAGAAGTCCGGGAGCATCCTTGAACCCTTGCCAGCCTCGGGCTGAGAGGTTCCGTGACGCCCATCACTTGTGGGCTTCTTCAAACACCTCCTCAGGAGCGGGGAATGCGACCCGTGTGTTCCTCTCCAAAAAAGAAACAAAAACAAAACAGACAAAAGCATGGTCTCTGGGCTGTTGAAGTGGGGAGCTGGTTCTGATGGAAGTACTGTTAACTTTCCTTTCCTTGTTGGGACCCTATTCAGTGTCTCTTGTAGTTTCAGGGCTAACTCTGTGTGTCTCCGTCGCTCTGTCTGTCCCTCTCTCCTCTCTCTCTTTCTTTCATAAGGAAATGGAAGAAAATTTGATCTAAATCACCAGCATTCAAACAAATATTTCGGCAATAAAGTTTACAGAGTCTGGCTTTTTTTACAGCCTTTCTATTCTGTGTTTTGTAGAAATGAGACAGGGTACTAATTTTTATACTTTTTTATAAAAATATTTATATTGTGCTCAAATCACCAATTTCTGGTTAGACAGCTTTACAACCTCCTTTTTTCCAGTGTTTTATAACAAAGTTTTGTAATGACCCTGCTTTAAGTTGGTCAGAAAAAAAATCAAAATCACAAATTTGTTACCAGCCTTTTATAGCAAATGTTTTAGATCAGAACTGGTTAAATAAAGATCTCTTAAAGGGGAAAAATAAACTTTGTAGTCAGCCTTTTTGTGTCAGTTTCAGGGGAAGTTCTAGCAGTCAATCCTGTAGCCCACGAAACTAAAATGTGGTTGGGTAGAGCTAGTCACGTGTCTGATGTCCCTGTGGAGGGTCTGCCTGGACTGCTGACTGGCTGAGCCAGGGGTGACTATGTGATGTTGACTTGTGGGCCATTTGTTGGCTGAGAGCAAATGATCCCATGGCCTGTCTATACTTCAGCACCAAGAAACATGAATTCGGGCACTGAGCTTTGTGGATTGTCTGTTGGCTTCGGGTGTGGTTTTGTACTTCATGATGGTTCAGTGACCACACAGAGGAAAGCAAATGTCTGTGTTGCTTGGATAAACTCTCCACCAAAGTGCAACTTAACGCAAAGCAAGGTGCTTGTGCACAGTGGCCTCTGGGGTTCGGATGCCTTCTTTAATTAAGGACAAATCTCTGAGAAATTCATGTTTGCTAAATGGCAGGTGAGGCCACTCAGCTGCCCTTCTGTTCACTGTGTGGTAAGGAAATGATTTCGCTCAGATGAGAAGTCTTGCAATGGGGATTTTGTAGCTAACCTGAAAACATCATGGGCGTTGCTTTTATGCATTGTGAGATGTGCCCTGCATATAGTGGCCAAAAACTGGCTTTAATTAAATGTTGGGAAGTCCAGGCAATACAGTAAGAGACAACAATATATTGCACTGTTTGGGCAGCCTGAAAATATTTTTGTGTGGTGTTGTATTAGATTTTGTATTTGCCCTTTAATACTGGCTTTTAACTATTTAAATGATGGCAAGGTTGAAATATTAATTAGATAAATGAGGTTTTGTGTTCATGTCTTTAGCGACTTATGAACCTTCACGAGGTTATACATTGTATGTTACTTGATTCCTGTTAAGCTGCCTTTGGTAGCCTCAAACTTTTATGTGTCTGTGTGTTCTTAGGAAATGTCGGGACAGCTCTCCATTCAGTTGTGTTTCAACATAAGGTAGCCACAGGAGAACTAACTGTACATAGCTCATGAATATCCCAGTACCCTGGTCCTGTGCGCCACTCTGATGATTGTGCAAATGGTTTAAATGGCATCCAACACGAATGTCTTTGTTCATTGTGACATGCAGAGTGTGATGTTCCTTGTCCTGGTGTCTCTGTGGGTAACGGAAGGTCTTGGAGTGTTCAGTCACTCATCACATAGGATTTCATTCTCTGACCAGTATTGTTTCTAAAGTGTGGTGAAATACCATTAGGGTTCCATTTCCTGATTAGATGTAGAAACCCCTTCTGCAGAAGAGCCCCTGAAAGACTAAGTTGGAAGACAATTCTTTGAAGAGGACTCCTGAACCCCAGAGCCCAGGGGGGCGCTGCTCCCTTGAGAGTGCTCCCTGACCCCCCATGGTGAGGCACCCTCCCCGCCAGTGCACTTTATCGGTTGAGCAGTTCTGCTTGATTTTTTTCTTTTTAACCTCTTTGAGTCTTTTGGTAGTTTAGTAATAAAAATTTAAATGTTTCCAATACTTATGTTTTATGTAACAGACTTTGACTTATTTAAATGAGTATGTATAATGTAACCTTTTGCTTTGAATCATATAAAACGTTCTTGGTTTGCAGACTAAAAAAAAAAGAAATGAAACTATGACAATAGTTAAATGACCTTCAAGAAGTTTCATGGCAAGTAACTGATGACCGTTGAGGATGAAATACTAAACTTACCAGAAATATAAATATGGCAATGGCCAGTAAGAATGACATATAGCACTGTGCAATTCTCCAAGAGAGACTAATGATGTCATAGAGATATGTAAATTAGATTCTCCATTGGTTGTTATTTGTATATGGACTTACATTAATTTTTCAGAGTTTATCAAGCAAAATGAGAGGTGATATATGTGACCTTGCTGTCCAAAATTTTCCAAAGTGAAAATACACACCACTTTTATAAAGCTCATAGTTATTTTCTCATTTCTATGTTTAACTTTTCTTGACTTCACAGAGCCAAGCTCTTTGCTTTTCTATTCATGCTTTCCTTCTCTCATGACTGCAGTCATTATTAAATATTTTTAAGAAAAATGTTCTTTTTAATTTTTAATTTTTTTATTTTTCATGTCAATCCCAGTTCCCTCTCCCTCCCCTCCTCCCGCACTCCCCTTCCCCCCAGCCTCCCACCCTATTTCCAATTCCTTCCACATAGGGGATATCTACAGTCTGTCATTTCACTCCGGGTAGGGTCCAGGCATTCCCCTAAGAGTTCAGGCTGAGAGAGCATCCCTCTTTGTGCTATAGGCACACCATGACTGTTTGTATTCCAGGGATAGACACTGATCCACTGCTCAAGGCCCCATAGGTTGCCCAGGCCTTCTCACTGACACTCACATTTGGGGGGTCCAGATCAGTCCCATGTTAGCCTCCCCGCTGTCAGTCTGGGGTCCAAGAGCTCTCCCCTGTTCAGATCAGTTGTCTCTGCTGGTTTTGCCAGCCCATTCTTTGCCAATTTGCTCATCACTCCTCTCTCTCTGCCACTGGGTTCCTTGGGTTCAGTTCAGTGTTTAACTGTGTGTTTGCCTCTGCTTCCATCAGTCACTGGATGAAGGCTCCCAGATGGTTATAGACATCAAGTTCATTATCAGGAATGGGCATTTGAGGTGGTCTCTCCACTATTACATAGCTTGCCAATTGGTGTTATCCCTTTAGATCACTAGAGGTCACTCTGGTGCCTGATCCGTCTTCTAACCTATGATTCCCTCTTCCCCCTATTCTACCCCCAGCCACTCAACTTCCTGTTCCCCCATGACCTACTCTCTATTTCTCTTCTCCCCCTCTCTTCTTCCCAGCTCCCACTCCCTCTCACCCCTCACCGTGTCCCCTATCCATTCAGAGGATCGTGTCTCAATCCTCTTATCTTGGGTACTATGCATATATGCATATCTTTTAGGTTCTCTCCTGTTTCCCAGACTCTCTATCAGTGGAAGTGCAGACTGGCACCATTCTGATACATGACTAGAAACCATATATGAGTGAGTACATACCATGTTTGTCTTTTTGCGACTGGGTCACCTCACTCAGGATGGCTTCCTCCAGTGCCATCCATTTACCTGCGAATTTTAAGATTCCATTTGTTTTTCTGCTGAGTAATACTCCATTGTGTAAATGTACCACATTTTCTCCACCCACTCTTCAGTTGAGGGGCATCTAGGTGGCTTCCAGGTTCTGGCTATTACACATAATGCTGCTATGAACATAGTGGAGCAGATGCCCTTGTTGTATGAATTTACCTCATTTGGATATATGCCTAAGAGTGCAATTGCTGTGTCTTGCGGTAGATTAATTCCCATTTTCCACATAATAGGAAACATTGCTAATCTCCACAGATACAAAAAAATTGGAATAACCCCCTGTATCTTATCAGACCACCATGCATTAAAATTAGAATTCAACAATGACACAAATCGCAGAAACCCTACAAACTCATGGAGATTGAACAATGCACAATTGCACCATCCCTTGGTAAAGGAAGAAATAAAAAAAGAAATTAAAGACTTCCTCGATTTCAATGAGAATGAAGACACAACATACACAAACTTATGGGACACTTTGAAAGCAGTGCTGAGAGGAAAGTTTATAGCACTAAGTGCCCACATGAAAAATGTTCTTAAAATAC